CTGCTTGGCTATGAACATAGCTTGCATCGACACAGGTAGTGTAGAATGACCATAATACGCTAATATTGTGATGCAACGTTGTGTAAATAAATGTTGATGCAATATTATCACAATATTTATAGCAAAAACTGTTGCACTATTTGGATAAGATAATATAAAATTCCAGATATTTATCTCCTGAAAATTTTTGGAAAATATAACGAATCACTTGAAATAATAAATGAAAAGGAAAATCAAATTTATACAAGGAAAATATTTACCACATTAATAAATGAATGTATAGTTGCAAAATTTTCCTGAATATAAAAACCTCTTTGAATTTTAGTTAGCTGAAAGTTAATATTTTCCTGTTGACGCTACTTTAACAGTAATAATAACAATAGACTAATAATAAGGTTAAAAATAATATTGACAATTACATAAATATAAATTATTTATTTTGTATCAAGGTGAGTGTTTATTTACTCATCTTTACTCTCTAAATTTAAATTAGTAGAAATTTTACTAATTCAATAAGTTTAGTTTTAACTAATGAATCCGTTAATTCTTGTAAAATTACTGATTCCATTCTTTTTAAAAAATAAACCTTTGCTTTTCTATTTTTTACAGAAATGACCTCTTTTTTATTATTTTTTTTTTTATCATTTTTAATGGTAAGGTGAGATTTTTTCAAGTAAATTATGTAAATTTAAAAAATGGGACAACAAAGGATTTTCAATAATTTTCAATAAAATAAACGAAAAGGATTTAAAAAGTTGTCTTCTTTTATTTTCTTGAAAACTCATTGATGTTCTATTTTTAAAATTTACATAATTTATTGGAAAAAATCTCAGCTTTCCAATGAAAATGATAAAAAATTGAAAAAAAGAGGCAGTTTTTGTGGAAATTGAAAAATAAGGCTTATTTTTGAAAAAAGAGGGGTTAACATTTTTTTTTGAAAAAAGAGTTTTTGAATTGAAAAGTACACAAAAAATTTTGCTGAAAACTGCATAGCTGCAATCCGCTTGAATTTAAACAATTAATTTTTATAAAAGTTAATATTTTAGGTTTTTAGGATTTTCTTACTTTTATAAAAAACAACAATTTACCAGCGAGTTTAAAGTCATTCTCATAAAATTAAAATTTTTATTTGATCATTTCACGTGGAATTGCTCAATTGTCGAAAAATTAAAATTTAACATCTAACAGTCACAATCACTGAATTTAGCGTCGATGCTTAGCGTTAAAAAATTTTTTTCAGAATTTTTGGTCATAAAATTGTCACTAACATCATTAATATTGTTTTTATTCACTTATAGTGTGAAAAAATTTTTAACGCACCTTTTTAAATCTTAAATCTTTTTATGAATGATATGTAACAAAATTTTTAGAGCATTTTAAATAAAAAATCTTTCTTCGACTGTGTAAAAAAAAAATATTAAGATCAGTTTTCTAAATCTAAAATCGTTTTCAATCGAAAATTATTTTGTTTTTAGCAGAAAATGTCTTCTTTGAAATCAATTGGACTAACGATAATGCTTTTGGGAAATTTGTTGTCCTGGACATATTTGTTATATCAGTCCAGGATGGCGCACAGGATATTGCATAAGAATTAGAAATTAATACAAAAAAAAAAAAAGAAAAAAAATGTATTTTTTTCCTTTTGTTATCTTATTATTCTAATTAAAAGTTGTGATAAAAAATAAAATTCCGCATCAATCGTAAATATTTCTTCTATTTTCCTTGTTTAATTTTATTTTTGAATTTTATTCTTTAGTTCCATTTTTATACATTTTTCTATATTTAAAATTTTACACTAAAAAAAAAAGTTCTAAATTAGAGCTCATTTCTGTATTAAAATAGAACCAAATTACGATAACAAAAAAAGTAAAAAAAAAAAAAAATAACAAAAATAACAAAAATAACAAAAATAGTACAAAAAAAAAAAAAAAATTTAAAATGTTTATTTTTACAGTGCATCTATTGGTTCAAAGTTGGTTTTAGTAAAGATTCTATAGTGTAAAAATAACTGAAAAAAGTAGAATTTTTTGCTAAATTTGAATTAATTTATAACTTACTTTTACTACTACATTATTTCTTTACATTTCTCCGGTTATGTAGAGAAATATTTTATTTGAATCAAATATAATGTATTTTTGTTAAAGAAATATTAGTAGTTGTCTTAACATCTACTAATCTTTTTATTTTTTTCAAATAACATTTTTATTTGTCAAAAAATAAATTTCTTTGGAGTGTAAATGAAATTTCTACTTGAATCAAATTAAATTTTCTTTGAATCAAATCAAATTCATTTGAAATAATGAAATTTATTCGAATCAAATTAAATATTCATTTGAAATGATGAAACTTATTCGAATCAAATAAAATATTCATTTGAAATGATGAAACTTATTTGAATCAAATTAAATATTCATTTGAAATGAAACTTATTTGAATCAAATTTAATTAATTTGCAAAAATGAAACTTATTTGAATCAAATTTAATTCATTTGCAAATAATAAATTTTATGTTTGAATCAAATTTAATTTATTTGCAAAAAAAGAAATTTTATTTTTGAATCAAATAAAATTTTTTTTGTAACAAAAATAAATATTACATTCTGGCTTTGAGGCAAATATTCCTTTTCTCTGGACTGTACAATTTGAGACGTTCGTCTTTTGAAAATTAAAAAAAATATTCCATTTATACTAAACCAGTTGAAATAATAAACGAGAAGGAAAACTAAATAAGTAGAAAACAAAAACAATTTATTTACGGCTACATTGATAATAAATGAATAAAATTCTAATGTTTCCTGATTATAAAGACGTCTTTGAATTTCATGTCTCTTAATTGATATTTTCCTACTGGCGCTTCTTCAATATGTAAAATTACTACTAATAATAATAATAATTAAAATTTAATAATTATTTTTGTTACAAAAAAATTTTATTTAATTCAAACATAAAATTTCTTTTTTGAAAATAAATTAAATTAAAATTATTAATTAAATAATAATTAAATTTTATTATTATTATTATTATAAATTAAATTAACTAACATCATTTTTTACATTTTTTTTATTATTTTCGTTTTATGTTATATTCAATTAAAATAATTTTAATTTAATATATCAAATAATTAATATTTGATTTAAATTTATTGTTTTCTCAAAAATAGTTACACCGAATAAAAATTTATTTGATTCAAATAACCGATTACTTGACTATTATCAAATTAATATTTACACAAATCAAATAATTTTTATTTGAGTCAATTAAATGGTTCAATTCATATTTGCTTCAAATACTGAAATTATTGGTTCAAAAACAATTTACTTGATTTCAATAAAAATTATTTGATTCAAGTAAATATTTATTTGATAATTGACAAGTAATCGTTTACTTGAATCAAATAAATTTTTTTTTTTGCGACAAAAATTACCTACTAAAAATAGCCGGACATTCAAATTTACAAATTTGAAATTAGTGATTCACTTTTCAAGCAAATATTTTAACTTAGAAAAGAGAATTTTTCTTGGAAATAAATATAAAAAAAAAAACATCTACCATATTTGTACTATAAATTTCCTTCATTTATTACGTAATTTATTATTTTCATTTCATTATTTATTTTATTTAAAAATAAAAATAATTTTCTTTTTTGCATTTTACTCGGTAAATCATTCCGGAAAAAATATACATTCTTCGTGCAAATAAAAAAATACAAATCACTTGAAATAATAAAAATATATTTTGACGCAAGTTTTTTGAAAAGAACGGTAAATAAAAATGTGCGCACAATCTTATTAATATATAAAAGCCCCTTAATTTTCTCTCTCTCTGAAAGAAAGAAAACTTTAGTTATTTTTAAATATATAAATAAGGACTGTAAATACCTGACAAAAGTGTTAATTTCAAATTTCAGTTTTGAAACTAATTTGGCGAAAATTTTTAATACTCAAAAAATTCTTTTGATAAAATAAAAATAATAGTGAAAAAAATATTATTTGAGAGAAAGGTTTCTCTTTTTCTTCCACGCATTACTATTTCCACTGTTCTTTCTTTTAAACTAAAAACAAAATGATTGCTATTCTGAAATTGTTTCCAATTTTCGTACTACTTGTGGTACTAATTATTTCGTATTTTGGTCATTCTACAATGGCACAATGCATACAACAAGGAAATGTATGCAAAACTGAAACAACTATTGGCATCTGTTGTCCTCAACTTTATTGTTTACAACCATCGGGATGGACTTACTCTATTTGCGTTGGCCGTTAATATCACATTCAATTTTCAGATTAAAAAAAACAAAATCGAAAACTGTGATTTATTATTTCGAAATTGGAAATAATTGAATAATTGTCCACCTTGCAATGAAATAGAGTAATTAATTGTAATTATCAATAAAATTATTAAATACTGCAATTGTAATGTATTTATTTATTTTTGAAAATAATAAAAATTTATTAGTAAACACTTTTATTTTATTTGAATCAATAATTTTTTCTAAACAAAATAAATTGTTATTGAATCAATAATTTCAGTATTTGAGGCAATTTAAACAATTTGAATAAAATTTTATTTGAACCAAATAAAATTTATTTAAAACAAATAAAATTTTATTTAAACCAAATAAAATTTATTTAAAACAAATAAAATTTTATTTAAACTAAATAAAATTTATTTGAAACAAATAAACCTTTATTTAAACTAAATAAAATTTATTTAAAACAAATAAAAAGTCTAGTTCGTTCTGAGTCAAATATTATACCTTTTCTCTGAGTTTGTTTTTGAATCAGTTCAAAATTCACTAATGAAAAAAAATAATTTATTCCATAATTATTTTGTCCATTTTTTCCATATATTATTTCTACTAAAAGTAATAATAAAAGTAAAAACAAAAATAGTACAAAACAGAAAAAAAAATGTTTTCATTACTAATTACTATTTATTTTTATTATTCTGTATTTTTATTATCACATATGTATTACAACTTGTTTAATTTGTTCATCATTAACAATAGTGGGGATATGAGAAATGCGCACTTCGGTTTCGATAGATATAGTGGTGGTAGTATAGTTCTATTTAAATTGCCACATTTCCCAGTAACTTCATTCATATCTATCTTACACTTTCAAGTTCAAGCACTCTATTTGTCGATAATTCTCGAAAGTTATTATTTACACGGTAAGCATTTTTTTTTTTATTTGCCCCCTTATAAAAAAAGAGAAAAAATACAGTAGAGTTTAATTAAAAGCACACATGAAATATTATATATTTCCTGAAATTAAATTCCACTGATTACAAAATAATTTTAATATTAAAAAAAAGGAAACGAATTTTAAAATGCAGATTAATAGTCATCAATATTTAAAGTATTAATTAATTTTCTTTTAAATTACTAAATTTTTTAATAAAATTTAATGAACTTAATTGATTAACAAATTTAATTAACATCTGTTGTTTAGTTTTTGTTTAGATAAAATTTGGATGAGGTGAATTCTTATGATTCTGATACTTTTGGTAGCAATTTGGTAATTCTTTTTCTACCAATTTGATTCTTTTTGGTATCAATGCAACATTTTTGATACTATTGGGAGCAATTAAATTTGATGCCTTTTGATACCAGTTTGAACCTTTTTTTCAATCAAATTTTTTACATTTCGTGGTAATTTGATTCTTTTTGGTACCAATTTAATACTTTTTCTTATCAATTCGACACTTTTAATATTATTGGTAACAATTTTATACTTTCGGTAGGAATTTGATTCTTTTTGGTACCAATTTGATGCTTTTTGGTTAGATACTTTTTGACTCAATTTTATGCTTTGAAAGCAATTTGATTATTTTTGGACCAATTTTTTTTCCTTGCTTTTAGTACCAATTTCCAAATTTTTTCTATTAATTTTATACTTTTTATAACAATTCCATAGGTTTTGAACCAATTTAATACTTTCTTGTACAAATTTGATACTTTTTGGTACCATTTTGATTGTTTTCTTATCAATTCGATACTTTTAGTATCAATTTCTAAATTTTTGGTACCAATTTTATACTTTTGTTAGCAATGCAATTTTTGTTTCAATTTGGTACTTTTTGGTACCAATTTGATACATTTTGTTTACAATTTGATTCTAATTGGTATCAATTCGAACTAATTTAACACTTTTCAATTAAGTAAATTTCTCAAAACATTTCGGTGTCAAAGTAAAATTCTATCCCCTAACTGACTGTTTATTACTTTCCACTTTAAAATTTTCAGAAAAAAATGTCTGCTTTGAAGTCAATCCTATTTTTAATGTTTCTGGCAATAATTTCTTTTGCGATTGTTCCCTCTGCCATGGGTTGTATCGGCCGTGGATCACAATGCAGAGAAACCGGACAAGGGGGACTGTGTTGCCGTGGAACATATTGTCATCGAGAACCAGGACGGGTTTGGGGAAACTGTAGGCGTTAACTAGATTTTAAGAGAATTAAAATCCTAATTAACTAATCTTTAACCATTAATGCCTTAAAAAAAAGTAAAATAAAATATGTCATATTTTCAAAATGTACGATAACTAATAAGTTCATTTTTATTTCTAAATTAAAAATAAAATTACCATTACGGATGAATTACATGTTTAATTATTAATTTTGCAGTGTATTTAATGAATCACTAATTATTAAATTAAACCTTTTTATATAATAAATTAGTAGAAATTTCTATTTATTTGTAAAATTTACTAATTTATAAATAAAAAGTCAGTCATTAATTTAAATTATAGAAAATATTATTTTTTACTAATTTAAATTTAGGGAGAAGCATAAAAAATGTCAAAAATTAATAAAAATAATAAAAAAGTGTTAATAAAAATTTAAAAGAATATAAGAAGGAAATTATAAAATTAAAAATAGTAAACGAATAATATTTCTGGACAATCAATAAATTCATTTATTACTTTTATTAGAAATAGAAGATCAATATATATATATTATCTTGATGAAAATTGAAAACCTGTTCTGTACACGCTCAAGTTTTAAAATTTTATAATCTTGATAAACTGACCATATTAAAATTGCAAAATATTTTCTTTTGCTTATTTTATTTGTTTTATATTGCAAATGGTGGGGATTTGATAATTGCGCATTTTTACTTCGGTAAATAAGGTGGGGGCAGTGATTCTATTTAAATCTCCTCATTTCGCCTTAATTTCAATCATATCTGTCTTACAGTTTCAAGTTCACACTCTATTTATTGATAATTCTCGAAAGCTTATTAATTACACGGTAAGCATTTTTTTTATTTGTCCCCTTTTATAAAAAAAAGAAAAAAATACAGTAGAGTTTAATGAAAAGCACACATAAAATATACTATTTCCTGAAATTGAATTCCACTGATTACAAAAACCAAAAAACTGAAAAAACACATTATTGTGAATGCAGGAAATAATTAAAAAAAATGTACGATTCGTTTTTTATTTTAATTTTTGAAATTGCATTTGAATATTAAAAAAAAAGGAAACGAATTTTCAAATGCAGATTAATAGTCATTAATATTAAAGCATTAGTTAATTTTTTTTTGAAATTACTAAATTTTTTAATGAAATTTAACGAACTGAATTGATTAAGAAAGAAAATTATTGTTTAAAATCTGTTGTTTGGTTTTTGATTAGATAAAATTTGAATGGTGCGATTCTGATACTTTTGGTAGCAGTTTGGTATTCTTTTTTTAGCAGTTTGATTCTTTTTGGTGTAAATTCAATATTTTTGATAGTATTGGTAGCAATTTAATATTTGTACCAATTTGATACAATTTTGGGTATTTTTCTTTTACTTAATATATTTGTTATCAATTAGAAACTTTTTAAACTATTAGTATAATAATTTTACACTTTCTGTATCAATTTGATTCTTTTTGTTACGAATTTTGTTGTCTTTGGAACCAAGTTCATACTTTTTATAGTATCAATTTTGTAAGTTTGGTATCATTTCGATACTTTTTGGTACCAATTTAAATTTTTCAGAATCAATTTTAAAATACCTTTTGTATAGAAATTTGATTCTTTTTGTCCCAATTTGCTGCCTTTGGTACCAATTTGAACCTTTTTCATTTAAATTTTTACCTTTGGTACCAATTTAAACCTTTTTAATCAAATTTCTACTTTTGGTAGTAATATGATTCTTTTTTATACCAATTTGATTCTCGCTTTATTAATTCGATACTTTAAGTACCAGTTTTCAATTTTTTTGTACTAATTTTTTACTTTGGATCACAATTCAATAGGTTTTGAACCAATTTAATACTTTCTTGTACAAATTTGATACTTTTTGGTACCATTTTGATTGTTTTCTTATCAATTCGATACTTTTAGTATCGATTTCTAGATTTTGGGTACCAATTTTATACTTTTGGTAGCAATTCAATTTTTGTTCCAATTTGGTACTTTTTGGTACCAATTTGATACTAATTGGTACCAAATCGATACCAAATTGATACATTTTGGTACCAAATTGATAAATTTTGGTATCAATTCAATACTTTTTGGTATCAAATTTGACACAGTTCAGAATTAATTAAACACTTTTCAATTAAGCAAATTCCTTAAAGCAATTCGTCTTCAAAGTCAAATTGTGTCCCCTGACGGTTTATTAATTTTAACTTAAAAATTTTCAGAAAAAAATGGCTGCTTTGAAGTCAATCCTATTTTTAATGTTACTGTCAATAATTTCATTTATGATTGTTCCCTCTGCCATGGGTTGTATCGAACGTGGAGGAAGATGCAAAGAAAACGGACAAGGGGGACTGTGTTGCCGTGGAACACATTGTCATCGAGAACCAGGACGGGTTTGGGGATCCTGCAGGCGTTAATTAGATTTTAAGAGAAGTAAAATCCTAATTAATTAATCTTTAACGAATAATGCCTCAAAAAAAAGTTCAATAAAATATGTCATATTTTTACAATGTACGATAACTAATAAATTCTTTTTTATTTCTAAATTGAAAATAAAATTACCATTATGAAAGAATGACATGTTTAATTATTAATTATTCTATTCTATTGTTAATGAAATCATTCTGAATCAGGTAAAACAGCAGTAATTAATATTCCTCATAAATAGTTATTTATTGATTTATTTAAAAATAAAAAAAATTTAATAGTATATGTAAAAAATTCTACTACTTTGAATTAGTGATTACTTTTTTGTTTTTTAGCTAGGAAAAGAATAAAAGTACTCTAATTAAAAAACCTTTAAAAAATAATAGTCAAAAAGTGGCATAAAAAATGTTAAGAACTAATAAAATTAATAAAAAAGTGTTAATAAGAATTTAATTTAATTTTAATTATAAAATTAAAAATAGTAAAAGACAAAAAAAGCTGTATGAGGAAAGTTGTAAAAAATGAGTAGTCACAAATAGAGAAAAAATAAAAAACGTATTAAATAATAATAAACAGAGAAGATAATAATAAATAACAGATTGGTAGAATAAATTCAAAATTGGTAATTTTGAATATTAACAGATTAGTGGTTTATAAAGAAATGTCGCATTCTCCTTAAATACTTTTATACTGAGACAAAGAGATTGTTACGATAAAAGTGTAATTGTTTTTTATACTCACATATATTACTTGTTTCATTTATTTTACATTGTTAATGGTGGGGATATGATAATCGCTCATTTTTTCTTCGGTAATAGATAAAGTGGTGGTAGTGGTTCTATTTAAATTTCCTCATTTCCCCCTAACTTCAATCATATCTGTCTTTCAGTTTCAAGTTTACACTCCATTTGTTGGTAATTCTCGAAACTTATTATTTACACGGTAAGCAGATTATTATTTCTTCCCTTTCTTCAAAAAACAAAGGAAAAAGAAAATACGTCATTACTAATAATCTGTCGCATAATTTTTATTGAGTTTATTATACAAAAGAAAATTCGTATCAATTTGAATTTTTTTTTTTGTACCAAATTTACTCTTTTGGTACCAAAATTGATACTTTTTGTACCATCTCCATACTTTTTGATACTAATTCTATACCTTTGATACTATTGTTCGTATTCGAACCTTTTGTATTCTTTTGATACCTTTGGTACCAATTTGATCCTTCTTTGAAATAATTTTATACCTTTGGTAGTAATTTGATTTTTTTGGGACCAATTTGATACATTTTGTACTAATTTGATACTTTTTTGGGTGAAAATTATACCTTTGGCAGAAATTTGATTCTTTTTGGTACCAATTTGATACTTTTTGGTATAAGGTCTACCTTTAATACTACTGGTAGCAATTCGATATTTTTTGTACTTTTTGATACCTTTGGCACCAATTTAAAAATTTATGAATCAATTTTATCCCTTTGGTAGTAATTTCATTCTTTTTGTGTCAATTTGATGCCATTAGTACCAATTTGAACATTTTTCGAATCAATTTTACAACTTTGGTAGTAATTTGATACTTTTTGGTACCAATTGTCATAATTTTTGTACTTTTTGGTATCAATTTAAAACATTTTAGAGTCAATTTGCCACATTCAAATTAGTTAAATTAACCAATCGATTTTAAAATCAAATTCTTCTACCTCCTGAGTTTATTAATTTCCACTGTAAAATTTACAGGAAAAAATGGCTGCTTTGAAAAGAATCCTATTTATGTTTTTGGCAATAATTTCTCTAGTGATTATTCCCTCCGCAATATGTTGTATTAGACTTGGAGAAAGATGCAAAGAAGGCATGTCAGAGGGAATCTGTTGTCGTGGAACATATTGTCATCGAGATGTAGGATGGATTTATGGAGACTGTAGACCAAGAAGGCGTTAATTCTATTTTAAGAATAAAACCTCTAATTAATAAATATTTAGTACTTAACAATCCCAATATTTAATTAGTAACTTGACAAAAAAAAAAAACAAAAAACAAAAAATTGAATATTTTTTTACAGTGTACGATAATTTCATTTATATTTTTATGTTGAAAATAAAATTACCATTCTTGAAGAATTACTTGTTTAATTATTAATTATTCTCGTTAATTAAATCACTCTGAGGCAATAAAGTAGAAGGAAAAATTTATAATATTTTTTATAATCATGAGGAAAATTGAGTAATTAATTCAGTATCGAAGCGACATATATAAGTAAATAATGAGAAGGAGTAGGAGGGATATATTAGTTACATGATTCATGTACCTATATATATAGTTCATTTACATCTTACAATTGAAGTTATAATTATTTTCCCTCGCAAAGGAAATTAACTTTATCGCTTCGCAAATAATTGTGGTAACTAGAAATTATTTTTTGGTTTTTAAACAAAGTTTTTACGTAATTAAAGTAAAATATTAACCAAATAACTAAATTAGTATCTAATTAATTGACTAAATTAATTACTAAATACTAATTACTAATTTACTAATTGACTAAATTATTACGTAATTAACTAAAATATTGGCTAATTAACTGAATTATTATCTACTTAACTAAAGTATTAACTAATTAGCCAAAATATTAACTAGATAACAAAAATAATAAATCAATTATTATCTATTTAAGTTAATTAACTAATTTACTAAATTATTAACCAATTAACCAAATTATTGACTCAAACCTAAATATTTACTAATTAACAAAAATATTAACAGAATCTACTTAACTTAATTAACTAATTAACAGAAGTATTGACTAATTAACTAGGATTTTAAATCATTAACTACATTATTATCTAATAAATTAAAATATTTACTAAAATTTTAACTGTAAATAACAACAATAATAAATTAATCACAATCTATTTAAGTTAATTAACTAATTTAACTAAATTTATTTAACTTAATTAACTAATTAACTAAATTATTAAATAACTAGCAAATGTTTCGATGCAAATTACATAATTTTTTATTTTCAAATATAAATTTTTAAATAATTTTATAATCAAAATTTTAAAAATTCACTTATTGTAAAAAATTAATTATTATTGTTTATATTTTCAAAAATTTTAATATAATTCTTAGCAAAAATTAAATTATTTTTACATAAATAAGAATAACATTCTTCGGAAGAATTCAATTATTTTTTATAATATTGTAAAATTTTTTTGCAAAAATTCAATTATTTTTAACAAAATTTTTATAAAATTTCAGAAAATAATTCAATTATTTTCTAAAATTTTAATAAATCCTTCTAAACAAATTCAATTATTTTTTTAAATAGTAAACTCTTTGCAAAAATTCAATTATTTTCAATAAAATTTCGCGAAAGAATTAAATTTTTTTTTCTTAATTCGTTATAAAATTTTTAAAAAGAATTCAATTCTTTTCTAAAATTTTCACAAATCCTTCGGAATAATTCAATTATTTTTATAAATAGTAAAATCTTTGCACAAATTCAATTATTTTAAAAACAATTTTAATTGAATTCCTCTGAAGAATTCAAATATTTTTTTAATATTTCCATAAATTTCAATTATTTCCTAAAATTTTAATAAATTCTTCGAAACAATTCAACTATTTTTATAAATACAAAAATTCTTTGCAGAAATTAAATTATTTTTAATCAAATTTACATAAAATTACATGAAAAAATTGAATTTCAAAAATTTTTATAAAATTCAATTTCAACCAGAATTTAAAATTCTCTAAAAAATTCAATTATTCTTAAAATATTTTTAAAAAATTCTATATAAAAATTAAATTACTTTCAATGCAATTTTGAAATATATATTCGTCAAAAAATTGAAACAATTCAATTATTTAAAAAAAAACAAAATTCTTGGGATGAATTCAATTATTTTGAATATAATTATACTTAATTTTAATAAAATTCTTTAAAGAAATATCATTATTTTTAAAACTACTTTAATTGAATTTCTCAAAAAAATTGCATTATTTTCAAATATTTCTATAAAATTCTTCATAAAATTTCAATTATTATTTTTATAAATAGTAAAATTCTTCGAAAGAATTCAATTATTTTTATAAACAGTAAAATTCTTCGCAAGAATTCAATTATTTTCAATACAATTTTAATAAAGTTCTTCATTATAAGATTCAGTTGCTTTCAAAATTTTCAATTAAAATTATTAAAGAAACTCCATTAGTGAAAAAAAATTCAAAAAATTCTTCAAAAGAATTAGGACTTTAAAAAATTTTAATGTAATAATAATTTAATAATTTTCAAGGAATTCAATTATTATCAAATTTTTCGATAAAATTCTTTGTAACAATTCGATGATTTAAAAATTGAAAATATTTGAAAAGGAAAATTATATATAAAAGTTACCGGAACATGTACTTTATTATTATTAATTAATTAACAAAATTATTCTCCAATTAACTATGATTTTAACTCATTAACTAAATTATTATCTAATAAACCAAAATACTGACTAATTAAATAAAATTTTTACTAAATAACTAAAATATTAAATAATTTATCAAACTTTTACCTTTGTTATCTATTTAACTAATTTACTAATATCTGAACTAATTAACAGAGATATCAATAAATCAACTAAAATATCACCTAATTATCCAAAATATTAACCAATCAACTGAAATATTGAGTAATTAACCCAAATATCAAATAATTTATATGTCATTCTATTAAAACTAAAAAAAATTAAATATGATGCTAAAAATTTGTCAAATTAAATTTTTCCTCCTGTTCTTTTAGTGATTCTTGAGGATTAATTTTTTGTCTGTTACTATTTATAAATATGTTCGCTTTAAAAACAATCGAATTTTTAATGATTTTTGTGATATTAATTGTCATGAATTCTCCGACTGCAATGGCATGCATTTCAACCGGAAGTACATGCATTGGTGGCGATGTAAGACGCTTCTGTTGTCCTGGATATTTTTGTTACCAAGAACCAGGATGGACACGTGGCTATTGTAAACGACATTAATTTCATTATCCCAAAAATCTTGTATGTAAAAGAAAATTATTATACTAACTATATTATTACAACTAGAATTAATAATTATTATTTACTCAAGTAAATATTTTTATTATATATACTCAATAAATAAAAAAATAATAAATAAATTTTAGTAGAAATGAAAATTTGCTACAATTGGAATTAGGTATTTGAGGAATAAACTAAATAATATTTATTTAATGTAAAATCAAATTTTTTTAATGAAATAGAATTTTTTCTTAAAATTTTTGAAGTAAATAATTAAATAAATAATTTTAATGTAAAAAAGTAAATTCATAGTGAATAAGATTGACAATGATTTAGAAGAAAAATGAAGAAAAGAGAATATAATTTATTCAATATGGAAACATATTTAATCAACAGATTAGAAAAGATTTGGGTTAATTACTTAATTTGTCTCAGATATAAATAGATAATCGTGATAAAATTTTGCTCATTCTCATTTTTCATTTAAAAAATAAGAGTAAATTTTGCTTTTCTTTAAGAGAAAGTGTTTTTTTTCTTCTATAATGGTAAATAAACATTTTTTTCCACATTTTTATCTACTAGGTCAAAATAAATAATTGTTTTAAATAATCAATTAATTATTAAAATGAATGTTTTTGTAATAAATAAGTAAAAATAAAATTTCCTCTATCGTTTTTATATTAAATTTTATTTATTTGTATTTTATTATTTATTATTTATTATTATTTATTATTTATTTGTATTTATTTGTATTTACTTGTATTTATTTTTATTTTTTTATTTATTATTATTTATTACCCAATATTTAATTATTTAAATTTTACTATGTTAATTTTTTTTGCAGCTAAACACAACGAAATGACTGGTTTATTAAAAATAATTGGAATAATGTTTGGGATAGTAATTATTTTGTTGTTCGCTTCAACTTCAATGGCATGTCTTCGACTTGCGAGTGAATGCAAAATTATTGACAATATTGATCCCTGTTGTCCTAAAAGTTATTGTTATCAAGAAGAAGGATGGCCACATGGCTACTGTAAACCTCCGGAAACATTTTAAAATTTAAGCTGAGAATTTCTTTTTTGAAAATATTCAATAAACATTTAAAATTATGCAATATTAATGTTTTTATTTTCTCTATTCTATTTTCCTTTTGATTTCTTTTATTCTGTTGAACTATTTTTTTTAATATTCTATTTCATTTTCTGTTTTTTACGCTGAATAAAAATTTATTTGATTCAAATAAACGATTATTTGTCAAAATTATCAAACAAATATTTATCTGAATTAAATAAATAGATTAGTAGAACATTAGTACCAAAACAATAATATTTATTTAATCAAATAATTTTTTTAATTATGAAGTCAAATATAATTTATTTGAACAAAATAAAATTTTTACTTAAACTACTGTCTGACATTGAGACAAATATTCCTTGCGGTCTCTTGGCTGAAATCAAAATTAGAGATGTTCGTCTTTTGAAAATTAAAAAGAAAATATTTTTAACCACAATCACTTGAAATAATAATTGAAAAAAGAAAGTAAATAAATTCAGAATAAAAACAGTGTATTTATGGAAACACTGATAAGTGATTAATATGCGATATCACCTGAATATAAAACAAGCCTTTGATTTTAAGATCATACAGTTGATATTTTCCCCCTAACGCTTCTTTAATATTACTAACAACAATAACAAGAAAAAAAGTAATAATAAAATTAATAATAACAGCAATAACACAAAGACACATTTATTATATATACCAAAAAAGGTGAGCGTTTATTTACTCATCCCTAAAATTCAATTACAATGAAAAAACAAAACTTACAATCAGAGAAAAATTTTATTTAAACTAAAAACTAATTAAATTTCACTTCGACTTCCATATTGGCATTTAAAGTCAAAATCGGATCGAAAGTCAAAGTTAAAGTCAAGAAGTCAAAATCAAAGTCAAAATCAAAGTCAAAATCAAAGTCAAAATCAAAATCAAAGTCAAAATCAAAATCAAAGTCAACTTCAAAGTCAAAATCAAATTCAAAATCAAAGTCAACTTCATAGTCAAAATCAAAGTCAAAATCAAATTCAAAATCAAAGTCAACTTCAAAGTCAAAATCAAAGTCAGCTTCAAAGTCAAAATCGAATCGAAAGTCAAAGTTAAAGTCAAAAAGTCAATGTTTAAGTCAAAATCGAATATAAACTCAAAGTAAAATTACAAAATCGCACCCCTGAGACAAATTTATTTTTATTTAAGTCAAATAAATTATATTTGGTTGAAATAAAATATTTCCCTGGATGAATTCAATCGAAAATATTTTCTTTGACAGAAAATGTGGTCTTTAAAAAGAATCGAATTAATTATGCTTATGGTAATAATTTGCCTATTATTTGGTCCAACTGTCGAGGCACAACAATGCCTTCCAGCTGGACACGTATGTTTGCCCAATGGATCCATGGGTCCTTGTTGTCCCGGATTCTACTGTTATCAACAGCCAGGAAGGCCCAAGGCAAATTGTGTACTCAATTTGAGTTAATAGCAAAAAAATATTACCAGAAATCTAATTTTTTTTTTTTTTGGCGAATCGGATACACTTTAACTAGACTAACATTTATAAAATATTTTTTTTTTTTACTAAAAATGTAAAACTTGAGATTTGTAATATTTTACAAGATAAAAATGCTTATTTTTACAAACATCAATAGATACAAATATTGTTAATTGTTATCATCCAATATTTCAGGTTGTGAAAATAAAATATCTATAGTTAAAAAAAGCACATTATTTCTGAGGTACAAATTTATTTTCCTCTAAAGTTATATTTAACTTAATCACATTGAATAATAAGAAGGAGGAAAATACAACAAGTTTTTTTCATTTTTACAAAAAAAAAAAATTTGTATAAAAGATAACGAGTGAAATTGCGTCATTTTCACAATATAAATGCAAGTTACAATTCGTAATTTACTTTAATTATCCTCTTCTATTGCTTGATTCAATTTCTAAAGTAAGTAACAAACATTTTTCTCATAGGTACCTTCAATTTTCCAAAAAATTTTCAATTTTCCTAAAATTTCCAATTTTAATCATTAAGGGTCATTCATTCCTAATGTTAATAGGTTCTAATGTTAATAATTTCTAATTTCTAATATTATTTCATAAAAATGTATAAAATTTTTAGATATCGCAAAAAGAACAAAAAAATGTCCGGATTTAAATCATTTGGTTTATTATTGATGCTAATTGCAACAATTATGGTAATAATTCCCTCTTCATGGGCATTGTGCAATCATCACGGTCACGTATGCAAGAGTGACGGAAGTATGGGCATTTGTTGTTCGGGATTTTGTTATCAACAAGTTGGATGGGAAACTGGATATTGTCAAGGTGGTTGAAGTTCCAAAATTTTTGACAAGATGTACAAAAAATTTCTAATTTCATTTTATTTTTCATAAAATAAAATACATTTTAAAATATTCATTTTAAATATAATTTGTTACGCGCACAGTTTCATGCATTTTTCTTAAGATTAAAAGAATAATGAAAAGTATCTAAATTAAGATTTTCTTATACGTACCAGTTTGTGTTGAGAAAAAATTTTCCCCCTTTCAAATTGCAATTGGATTATAAAAAGCAATTTGAAAGGCAAACTATGTATACCCTTCTCGAGCATCTGTTGAAAGGAAAATTATTATATTATTTCTATTTAGTTAATTAAATTATTATTTCTATAATAATACCAATCGTTATTGGTATTATTATAGAAATAATAATTTAACGACAGTAATAGCAACAACAACAATAATAATATTTGTGATTTTTGTTTTTTGACCGTATTAATTAAAAAAACAAAAAAAAAACAATAATAATAGTAACTATAATAATAATCATAATAATGTTTTTTATTAAATAAAAATTAAAAATTTTTAATAAATGTTTTTATTATATTCCCGTTTCTTAATCATTTTTTTAAAAACTTCTCAATTTTCATAATTCAATTTCATTTTCATAATTTCAATTGATTTGCATCAATTCTATTTCTTAATTACAATTATTTTAATAAAATTCAAAGTCTTTTTTTTAAATAAAGGAAAAAAAATGTTTATAAATTATATTTGTCAATTAGAAAATTTAATTGAAAATAAAATTGAAACTTCTTGATTTTTTAGAAAATAAAGGAAAAAATTTTATTAACAGTGTGATAAAATCATTACTTTACATTATATAAGAATATTGTTACAGCAACTTCTTCAAAATTATTTTCATCATGTCAATTCAATTATTATTTTCTACAATTTTTAATCAAAATTCTTCTCTAAATTTTAATAATTATCGAAAAAGTTCTATTTGACAATTTTTAAATCCACTTCTTTACATTACAATTTTTTTGTAAAATTTCGATTATTTGGAAATTCTTCAATTAAATATATTGTAGAAAATAAAACATTCAAATAATTTTAATAAAAGTCAATTAAACTTAAAAAAAAAATGAATTCTCCAAACTTGTTGATTATATGTATGAAAAATTCAAATTTTCCTAAAATTTTAATTTGAAAACTTTTCAAAATAAAATTATTGCTCGAAATTCAGGCTATAATGCTTTTACTATTCAATTATATAATCTAAAATTTTAACTGAAATCCATTTTTAAATCAATTTTTATTGGGAAATTCTACTAGGATTCAAAGAAGTTTATTAAAATTTTTGAAAATAATTGAATTTCTGTGAAGATTTTTAAGAAAATTTTAAAAAATAATTGAATTTCTGCAAAGAATTTTTAAGAAAATTTAAAAAAAAATAATTGAATTTCAACTAAAAATGTTGATTTTTTAAGAGAATTGAATTTTTAGGAAGAATTCTGTTATTTATGGAAAGACAATTGAATTCTTTGCATAAAGTTTATTTGAAAGTTTTGAAAATAATTGAAAAATTTGTTATTTTTGAAAATAATTGAATTTCTGCAAAAGAATTTTTAAGAAAATTTAAAAAAATAATTGAATTTCAACTAAAAATGTTGATTTTTTAAAAGAATTGAATTTTTAGGAAGAATTCTGTTATTTATGGAAAGATAATTGAATTCTTTGCATAAAGTTTATTTGAAAGTTTTGAAAATAATTGAAAAATTTGTTATTTTTGAAAATAATTGAATTTCTGCAAAGAATTTTATGAAATTTTTAAAAATAATTGAATTTCTACTGAAAAAATTTATTATTTTTGAAAATCATTGAATTTCTGCAAAGAATTTTATGAAATTTTTAAAAATAATTGAATTTCTATTAAAAAAATTTATTATTTTTGAAAATCATTGAATTTCTGCGAAGAATTTTATGTAGTGTTTAAAAATAATTTAATCATGTTAAAAATTTTAAGCGTTAAAATCATTATTTTATAAATTATAAAAATATTGTCACTGTAACTTCTTAAAAATGATTTTCATATTTTATTATTATCTAGAATTTAAAGTAAAATTCATTTTCAAATCAATTTTTATTACAGAAAATTCTACAAGAATTCAATTATTTAAATACAAAAGTAAATTATTTATTAGAATAATTGAATGTTTCTTAAAATGTAATTCTTCTAAAGAATTTTATTAACAAATTTTTAAATAATTGAATTCTTTTGACGAATTTTAATATAATTTTGTAGTAGCTACATTTTTTTAAGGAATTTGATTAAAATTGTATTAAAAATAATTATAATTCTGCCATGAGTTTTTTTATTTTTAAAAATAATTAAATTTAGAAGAATTTTATTACTTTTGAAAATAATTGAGTTTTCAAAATTCAATTATTTCTAAAAATTCAGGCTGTAATGCTTTTAATATTCAATTATTATCACAAATTTGAACTGAAATTCAGTTTGAAATCAATTTTTATTAATTTTCGATGAATTTTAATACAATTTTAAAAAAATATTTACATTTTTCAAGAAAATCGATTAAAATTGTATTAAAAATAATTGAAAATCTGCCATGAGTTTTATTATTTTTGAAAATAATTGAATTATTCAGAAGAAACTTATAAAAATTTTGTAAAATATTTGAATTCCTGTGAAATTTTTATTATTTATGAAAATAATTAAATGTTTGCGTAGAATTTTATTAAAATTGTTTTTAAATAATTGAATTCTTTTGGGTAATTTTATTAAAATAGTAGAAATTAAAAATTATTAAAGTCAGGACAATTTTTGAAAATAATTGAAATTTGGACAAGAATTTTATTAAAATTTTTTTAAATAATTGATTTTTGATGAAGAATTTTTTTATTTATAAAGATAATAATTGGGATTTTTGTCAAGACTTTTTTGTAAATTTTGATCATTATTGAATTTTGTGATAAGAATTTTATTAAATTTGAAAATAATTGAATTTCTGCAATAATTTGTAACTTCTTCAAAATTCAAACAAAAAAGAGGCAAAAATTCAGAATTTTCTCATGAATTCCAAAAATTTAATTTTTTTCAGTATACTTTTAATAAAAGTTCCTAACTTTTCCCTGAATTCCCCATGTACGTTCTATTATTATGAAAATTATAATAATATTAAATATATTCCAATTCACATTTTATTTTTATAAAAAAAAATTTGAATTACAAATTTTTACGTTCTATTATTTTAAAAATTGCTAATTTTATTTAAAAAAGTGAGTGAGAAGTCAGTCGCGTTTGAATTGTTGTTACGGATTAATTTCTTTATGATTTTGTATTTTTTAGCGGTAGAGCAGCATTATTATTATTATTGCTTTTATTATTATAAACATTTTACTATAGTAATTATTATAATATTATAAACATTTTACTGTAGTAATTATTATTATATTATTATTTTATTGTCCTTGTTTTTAAATTATATGAATTATCCTGTAATAACACAAAATTGTAATAATTATTAATTACTGTATATTTAAACTTTTAAAGATAACAAAAATTAACGTTATATAAAATTTCTAAATTTATGTAAAAAACGTGGAACATTTTTTTTCCATAATTTATGTCAAAAGTTATAGTTTCGTTTAAGAAATTTCATAATTTTGTCTATTATGAGAGACTATATATAAAAAGTGTGAGGGATAAGAGGAAAACTTTCAAGTAGATAAAATATTTCAAAACTTTTCTTTTTATCGAGTTAGATAAAATCCTAATCGCATATTAATTTTAACATCGTTTTTTTAATACAAAATAGAAGCAGGAAAAATGTCTTATACAAATTTATTTTTTCTCTCAATCAAAGTGGGTGAAATAAATTTCCATTTTTCTAAAAAAAGTTTTTATATTATTATTATTTTAAATTTTTAAATATTTAACAAAATTGTAAATTTGTTTTTTTCATTAAATTTAAATTTATTATAAAGAAATTGTAACTAAAAAATTTCTGATAGTAAATGTAACTATATTTTCTTGCTCATTTCAAATAAGAAAAAGAAAGAAAAAAAATTGTTTTGAGAGCAAAATGAACACTTAATGTCAGGAGAATTTTTTCTTTATTGATTTTCAATAAATTTTAGAGAAAGAAATATCGACTGATGGAGTGTATAGAGCAATAATTGCTCTTGATCGTAATAATGATCGATGATGATAATAATAATATTAATTATTATTGTCATCATGATAATAATGGTGGGGGGAATTCATTTAATTGAAATCAGAAGCACAGCCTTGAAATGGTGTCAACTCTGCTTTGTCTCTTTGGTCCATTGTTTTGATGCAGTACATCTGGGCTCAGTATTGCGCTAACAGCCTGCTTAACAATTCCAAGAACGTCTCTCACCCAATGAGAAATTGAGTGCTTTTATGCAAAAGCAAACCGGAATTAAGGCTCCCGATGAGAATTAAGTTTTAACCCTTTCAAACCAATTTTCTTGATTCACTGGACAAAAATTGATGTTTTCAAGGTGGTCGCGAAAAATTTTCATCTCCCAGAAGAATAATTTTCTAATTTCTCATCATCGTTATTAAATTTGAATATTTTTTTCCTATCGGGTAAAAATATATGTAAAAAAAATCCTTCCGAAAAAAAATAATATAAGAGGGAATTTAGGAAAATCAGCGAAAAGTCAGGGATCTTTATTAAAAATACTGGGAAAAATTTAATGTTTAGAATTTTAATTCTTATAAAATTTCAATTTTAAATGTAATTTAAATAACAATTAAATTTAAATTAAATAAATTAGAAATTTTAAGGAACTTGGATTTTCGAAAAATTTTAATAATTCAAATTCTTCTGAAATTAGTTGAATTTTTTAAAAAACTAAGTAATTATTAAAAATAATGAATTTATTTAAATATAATTTTATAATTTAAAATTATATTCTAATTTCAAAATTTCTTTAAAATTCTAATCAAAAGGTCAATTAACTCTAAAAAAAAAAATAAAAATCTTCTCCGAAATTCAATTTATTATTTTCAAAAATTTCAATATAATTCTTGGCAAAATTACAATTATTTCCAAAAAATTTCCTCAATTAAATGATTTTTA